TTTTTTTTTTTTTTTTTTTTTTTTTTTTGTTGCTCTGGACGTTAATTTTTTGAATTTGCTACTGATTACATGCAATTTACATGTTTATGTAAATGATTATTTCGCTCTTAAAGATGGATGCTAATTAGTACTCCAATCACATCACTAGGGATTGGACCCCAGGTGCATAGCCAACTTGTTTCTAGATGCAATATGCAGTGGAGAGAAAACCATAAACAATGAAGATTGCTTTGTACTAAGACTTGAGACAGCCCAAAACATTCTTAAAGCGCAAAGCACGCCTCAAACGGAGACATCACGCCACACAATATGGGGATATTTCAGCCAACGCACAGGTCTTATCGTCCAGTTTGAGGACACCAAGTTGGTGAGGGTGAAGGCGGTGAGAGGAAATAACGAGAGTGTGTTTTGGGAAACGAGAATTGTGACTGAGATTGAAGATTATAGATATGTTGAAGGCATTAACATAGCGCATAGTGGTAAAACATGTGCCATGCTTTATAGGTATGGAGAGGCTCACAATCATAGGCGAAGGATTGAGGAGATTTGGAAGATTGAAGAGATTGATTTTAACATTTGTGGGTTGTCCATGGAGTGCTTTTTGCCTCCCGCTGATCTTAAGAGGGATAATGTTCCTGAGGGTCGATCTCAAGGAGCGGGAGAGAGTTAGTGGGGTTTGGATTTTGAACATGGTTAATTAAAAAAATATTTTCTATGTCAAATATATGTAGGTATTGGTCGTATACTCACGAGTGGATGAAGTGTTTTTTGTACTTTACCCTAGAAAGAAGTGTTTCTGTACTTTGAGAAATCTGGTTGCATAGTTTTTGTTGGTTGATATTCCATTATTCTTTCGTATCTAGTGATATGTCGTTTTTAATTAATCCCGTGAACGACAACAAAATTTGGAACACAAAAATCTTTAATAAGTGTAAAACATGTCATTTTAGTAGAAAATATAAGTCAAAGACAACATTTTGATAGATAAGGATTATATATACCAACAATACATCAGTCCTAATTAATTACAGGTCATTTGACAAATAAACGACAACAAAGTTTTGGACTTCAAACGACAACCGTCTTCTCTTTACATTTTACAACATGCATCTTGATAAACACAAAACGATATATACTTTTAATCATAAACAAGTAATTAAAAAGACATATTTCTCAATGTAAAGTGTAAACAAACAAAAGAAAACCATATTCTCTAGTTATTATTGCATAACACGTAAACGACAGTAAAATTTGAGAACATGAATAACGTGTCATTTCATTTTTACAACGCAAAACCTACATAGGAAGAAACGACATTTTGGATTACCGTTGTCCAGGCTACAGGGTAAAGTTGTCAATTTGCATGCCCTCGTAAAACCCTAATTTACGTATATCTCTATTTAAGCCCCAAACTCGACCTCCTTACCGCAATATTGCCGCCTTGAAGGGTTCGTTCCGTACCATATTTCCTTTGCCGCATTCTCTCCCATTTCTTCTATAAACCCTAACCCTTCCCTCTCTCAATCGAAATTCCCATCCTTATCTAATTTCATTTCCAATTTCCCACGCCTTTTGTTTCTGATTCTGGGGAACGAATGATTGCAACTTTTTCTTATTTCATCTTTTAGAATCTGGTCAGATACGATCATTTTATTGAGGATCTAGAAATTCATTTGTGTTTCTTTTAGATCTGGATTTTTTTTTGGTTTTTTAATTCTGATGTTTTGCATCTGGTTTACCCTCTCCTGTGTTTGCAAAACCCAATGTCGTAGGAGATATATCGGATGCATAAACTGAAAGGTTGGCTTACCAGCCCATTGCATATCTTGTCTTAGCCTTGGCGTCAAATGGACCTACCGATATCTTTACATGTCCTTCACTAATTATTTCGTTTAATTTTTTTTTCATATTTTCTCTGCCCTGAATTTCTGATGATTTCCTTTTCTCAGAATCGCTTCGTTTGGAAAAAAAATGGCAAGTGATGAATGATATTCAACCGCTTATTGATATACTGATAATCTCGTGTTGATAATTCGTTTTTATCTGATGTTATTTTGTTCTCCAACTTCTTCCAATTTAGTTTTGTATTTACAGATGAATTTTCTCTGTTATTTTTGTGTAAAGATGGGCAGGCAAGTGATGAACAAAATAAAATCACTTATACTACACACCGAAGTAACTGTGGATATCACATCCTTCACATTCTGATGCCTGCATTTTATTTACCGTAATATTAAACGTGTTCGTTTGTGTATAGTAACATTATCATCGTTCTTACCTTGTGGAAGTATTTTTTTTTTTTTTACTCAATGATGAGAAAAAGCAGACGGGCGGTCAGAATCTGATGCTGTGTTGATTGTCTGCCTATTATCCACTTGTGGAATATCTCTGAGTCTAAATTATTTACTTAGATGTGCTCCAATTTTGAAGCCATTCATCATAAGAATTGTCATTATGTCATTTTCTCTTGCTTTTCTTTTCTATTCTTAGTGAGTTCAAGTTGTAATTATTTACGAAATCATGTTTGTTTTGAACTTTTTTTCTTCTTTTTCCTTTGCTATGATGATGTTGCTTTTTATGTCTGGACATCTGAGTTATTCCATGATTTGATATGCAACTTCTGAGCTCAATTGAGTGTTGTTTGCATTTTTAAAAGCTTGGATTTGATTTGTGCTGTCTTGTGTCTTGTACATGTTGCTTGCTCTGTTATGTATGTTTTGGTATCTCAATGTTATATTCATCAATTAAAGTTTATTTGTTTGTTAATCATATTATGGTTTTGGAAGGTGGCAAATGATGAGAACTTATTGCATAACTGATGAACTGTGGTGACACTACTCCGCTTATTATCTGATGCCATCCTTATTAGAAAGAGTCATGCCATAGCCTTTTGGGCTCTATATTTTATCGAATTGCTTCCTTTCTAGGTGGAGAAAGTGGTGCGGGCTTAAAGACCATCTCTGATCCTTTGTTGGGCATCAAAAATTTGTGAAAATGAAATATATAATATTTATTTTTTATTTGATCTGGAGTGTATTAGAATTGAAAATAAATTAAAACTCGTTGAGGGTTCGACGCAATTAATAGGGTGATGATGACTTAGAGAATTACATGTATTTTATTTTTGGACCGTGCCTAAATAAATGTCTTCTCATATAACGATAGAAAACGGCTAATGGAACGATAATGCTAAATGTGAGTTGGTATTTTAAATGCAGCGTTCAAGGTTTGATTGGGGGATAAAAAGAAAAAGATAGAAAATTCTGAAGATTCAAACCATTTTTTTCGTTTGTTTGTGTAGTGTTATTTATCGGTAACGTTTTGGTTTTGAGCATACCTTAAGCTGATCATGTGTAAGGGAATTTCCTTTACGTATGTAAAAGGAGAGAATAAGAGGAAAAAAAATCAAAATTTGTTTTTTTAATGTTGTTAAAAGTTTAATATGCCAGTTGGTGTTTGATGATGTCCTCTTTTCCTATACTTGACAATAACTGGTATATTGAATTAATATTAATAAAATAGTTTTTAATTTTTCTTTTAAAAGAGGAGCAGGTCAGCACACATGTGCCTGCGTATTCTCTCTGTTTTATATATCTAAAGGAAATAATAGGTTTATAAATTTTACTTTGAATATGATCAAACTATATAATTAGCTTTCATAAATTTACTCTGTTTATCTTTTAGTAAAGAAAGGAAATTTCTTTCTATATGCATAATTTTCATTTGCCATTCCTTTTCTTTCAACACTGGAACTCGTTTTAAAATAATTTTATTTTTTGTATGAAAATAAAAATAAAAACATTTTCAATCTCAAAGAGAATTCATTTTTAAAAATGCGTTTGGTAGTTTTATTAAAAGATTGTTTTTAGTGTAAAAAAAACCTATAAATGTCTCTCTTTATTTGAGAGAGGAAAAAATAAAAATAAAAAATAAAAAATAATTAATTCATTTTTCTCTTATTTTGCATTAAATTAAAAAATTGTTTTTATTTTTTTTTTGTTTTTATTACGTTAAACGTCGTTTTAAAAATGTTTTTTTTTTAAATGTGAAAAATAAAAATGAGATCAATTTTAAATACGGTTTATATTTGCGAAGGTGCTGAAAAATAGGAAGTCGTGTAAAAAATTTAAGTGAAGAAGAAGAAAGAGAAATTTCATTCATAATGTTTTTGTTAATACAAAAAATATTCTTTTCATATAAAAAAGAAATTCTGTCAAAAAATGTGTCCTATTATAATAATTAGTTTTTTAAAAAAATGTTCTTTAAAATCTAATAAATATTCCATCGGTTTTGGATTTTCCAGAACAGCATATTTGAAGAAGCAAGCACATAAGCAAAGCGAATTGATTTTTCTTGAGATATTTAGGTAATATGTCATTATTTTTAAGGTTAAATTGATTTTTATCATGAGTATTAAAATGATTATAAAATATATCACAGTGGCATCATTAAGGCTCCGTTTCGAGTTTGGAATTCGACAATCACATTTAATTTTTTTACTATATTAAAAAATTTTCATATAAAGTCATATCTTAATTTGAATTAAAAACTTAAATTAGTGAACTAAACGGGCTCTAAGTTTTGTGTATTGAGTAAAATTTTATTTATATTTCTGTGTATTTTATTCAATATTTTTAAATTTTTTGAGAGTTTTGTGATTTTTGATGTATATATTTGTGATTTTAAGTGTATTTAGTTGTGATATTCTTTATAATAGTTTATGTCTGTTAGTATTATTAAATCTAAGGTTTCGTTTATTTTACCGATTCGAATTTTACTACAGTAAAAAGCTCTTAGAAACAGTCGTATTTAATTTTTTTATTACAGTAAAATTTTTTTACGTAAAGTTATATTTCAATTCGAATTAAAATTTTGAATGAGTGAATTAAACAGGTTCTAAAACTTGTAATGATTTTATAAAGTGTTCATTTTTCTTTCCGTATTAAATTAAAGCACAAAACGCTAAAACGCGTTTGTTGAAGCGACTAACTATATATAAATTATGTTGTTACTTATTATGTTATTTGCTACACGCAATATGCAGCTAATTTTGCTTGACTATATAAAACAGTTTCCTCGAAGTTTCTCATGGTGGGTTTTGATTTTATTTTTTGGTACTTTGTCGTTTCTCTCTTAATAGAAGAAATGAATACTACAAATGAAAATAAGTATCTCTTCACAGAAAGAAGTGCACTCAACAAATGAAAATTAGTACCTGAAATTTTCCGTTAAAATGTCTCTACTGTGGAAATTATTTTCTTATGGAACCCTTAATTTTGCTAGTTAGGAAAGCCATGTTGACATTATGAAATATTCATCCAAAATAAATGCTTTTATTTTCTTAAATCCATGTTATTCAATCGCGATAGTGGTTGTCAATTAGTTAAATTGTTTGTACATGTCGACATGACATAGGATAGGTAAAATTGATGGGAATAAAAACTGTTTTTTGATGTATAAAGACTAAACTTGTGAACTATGTGATTAAGGATAGTCGCTTTTGCTACTTGGTTTGGCCATTAACGCATCGGTATACCATCACCATGTGCCGCAGTGACATTGGCTTTTTCTTTTTTCTGGTTTAAAAGTCAACAACGTTGTTATCGTTTCATTTCGTACATTCTTAATACTGTCTAATCCCACGAAAACGCAAATGATCCTAATAGTTTTTTTTTTTTTGGGATCCTAACACTTTTACAACTACATGAAAATTGGTAGAATTTTATCCCCTTAGCAATTTATCTTCTCAAAAGGTCAAAATATCTCAAACTCCATCGGTCTAGTTTTTGAGTGTGCAAACCTTTTAGATAAAAGATGTTTTGGGGGTAATGTGGAGTTGAAGTTAGATGTTCGTAAAGCCTTTGATACTCTTTGATGGGATTTCTTACATCCACTCTTGTTAAAATGGGTTTTAATTGCGTGTTTGTGGGTTGGATTGAGAGTATTTTAGCTTCGGCTAAACTATCTATTCTGGTTAATGGTCGATTGCGTGGTTTCTTTACTTGCTCTAGAGGCGTTTGACAAGGGGATCCTTTGTCGCCTATTCTTTTTTGTCTAGTTGAGGATGCCCTCAGCCAACCTCTGAACCGGTTGGTGGAGGAACATCATATTATTATTGTTTCGGCTCCTCGGGGTGTTTGTGCTCCTTCTGTTTTTTGTCCTTTTCTTTTTTTTTTTTTTTTTTTTTTTTTTTTTTTTTGCTGATGATTTGATGATATTCTGTAATGGGAGTAAAGTATGAGCTCGGGACAAGTTTCCAGTAATCTATAGTGTTTATTGGAAAATCTGCTCTTCGTCATTCTGCTGCGATTTTAGATTTGCTTGGCATGAGGTGGGGTGATTTGCCTTTTATTTATCTTGGAGTCCCTATTTTTAAAGGTAAGCCAAATTGTGCTCATCTTCGTCCCGTAGCAGATAAGGAGATCAGTAAGCTTACTTCTTGAAATGGTAGTTTTCTTTCTATGGCTGGTAGAGTGGAGTTGGTTAAGATAGTGGCTACTTCTTCTCTTTTACATTCTTTTATGGTGTATTGTTGGCCAAAGTCTCCCCTGTTAGTTGTTGCTAGAGTTATGAGGAATTTCATTTGGTCTGGTTCGGTGGAAAATAAAAAAATGATTTGTGTCTCTTGGGATAAGGTTTGTAGACCTTTTGGTGAGGGGGGTTTGGGTATAAGAAATCTTTTAGCTCTTAATAAGGCTTGCTTGCACAAGTTGGCTTGGAATCTCATTTTTGTGCATAAATGATATTTTTTTCCTTTCTTGAGGGGCTTTTTTTTAAAGGCTGATGGTGTTTCTAAATCTCGAATTGCTTCTTCTATTTGACGTGGCATCAAAAAGATAATGGCAAAGGTTTCCTTGGAATCTAGGTGGTTGGTTGGTAAAACTCAAAGGTAAATTTTTGAAAAGATAATTGGCTTAGGTCTCCTTTAGTAGATTTGTTGAATGTTCCTGAACACATTAGAGCTCATCTTTTAGTTGCCATATCAGCTTTTTGAGATGGTTCTTCTTGGGTTATTCCTTCTTTTTTGGCTGATGGTTTTCCTCATATTGTTCAAGCTATTAGTTGCACTTCGGTTGCTTGTGAAGATTGTCTCATTTGGACTAAGTCATTGGGGGTGGTTTGACTACTGCTCAGGCTTATAAAGAGGTTAGTGTGGCTTCTATTGATCACTCTTTAGGTAGAAAGATTTGGCATGACTATATCCCCCTTAGAAGGTTGATTGTGGTTTGGAAAGCTCTTCATGGTGCTCTTCCGGTGGAGACTGTTATCGAAAAGAGAAGTTTTATTTTTGCCTCAGTTTATCGTTTTTGTTATAAGCATGAAGAATCTATTTCTCACTTATTTTTAGAATGTGATTTTGTTGCTAAGATTTGGAATCATATTTTTGAGATTTTTAGTAGTGGTTATGTCCCGCTTGAAGTATTGAAGAATTGATTTCTTGTACTTTTGAAGGTGATTTTGTTCTCAAGTTTATTGTTTATGGTCTACTACGATTGTTACTAGCTTTTGGGCCATTTGGTCTTTGAGAAGCAAGGTTATTTTTTGATGGTGTGGTTTCTAGTTTCTGTTTTCTTTGGGTGGCGGTCAAGCAAGCAATGGTTGAGGTTGATAGGCTAAAGATTGGTGTTATGAGAAACTCCCTTTAAGAGCTTCTTGCTGTCAAAGCTTTTAGCCTTGAGGTTATGCCTAGGAAAGCTCCTATGATCTACTATGTTGTTTGGAGGGCTCCTCCACCAGCTTGGATTAAAGTTAACACGGATTAGGCAGCTAAGAGGAATGGTTTAGCTGTGGGAGGTGCGGTCTTTCGTAATTGTAGCGGTTTCTTCTTAGGAGCTTTCAGTGTTTTCTTTGGACAGTGCCT